TTTGTCCCACTTCTCAAGAATGACGAAACAAGCTTAATTTTATTACAAAAATATAAACCAGGTAAGTTATTTTTACACAGAAGACAAAAACTTTAAACAAAAAGTAGCTAAGTAAAATATTATAATATGTTAAGATGTCAAAGCTATTTACGGATGTTTAATCAAAAATGAACTTCCCTAAAACAAGAAGGTACCCTAGGCTATGCTAATTAACTAGTCAGCCAGGCCCCCCCTCCCACTTCACCCCAGATTCAATTTGTACCCCCTCCACTCCTGAAACGCAATCGATTTTAAACACCCTTTCACACGGGACGCGGCAGTCGCAAGTGTCTTGTTCATTTTCACACAGGTTACTAATATATTGTATTCAATTTACAGCACCTTCACAAATTAACAAAACCATAAAAAAATAACACATACACATGTTGCCATGTAAAGGTTATATAAGAAATTATTATTATTATTATTATTTTGTATAATTTATACACGTAGTTGCAGTTTCACTACAGCAGCAGGCTAATAGCACAGACAGTGGACAAATAAACTTTCTATTGCGCATGTGTCGACAGCCTGTGTTCAAATGGATCAGTGAGAGTATACTTTAAAAAACTGCATTTGGCTGTATTCTAGCATTTGTGTCAAAAGTAAAGTATTCTTAAACTGGGCTTAAAGGGACTCCTACGTTGAGTAATTTCTTATGGCAGCCATAAATTTACACTAAGCCTCGAATTACATCTGAATTTACTCATGTTTACTGAACATAAAATATTTGTGTACCTGTCACTGCTATAAAATTATGAAGTCCAACTGATGTCTCTTTTTTTTTCTTTTTTTCTCTCACATTTTTACATTTTGCGTGCCATAAGGGTAAATTTGACCATCAGCTTCCTGTGCAAGTTGTCAAATTTTACAGTATTGAAAATATGAGTGCATATTCTCAAATGTATTCTAATTTCCCCACATGTGCCCAGATGGTATACTTCAGTGACTTTCAAAGTCCTTCAAGTCCAGCTGGTTTAATTCAAGTAATATGTTATATTGATAATACATTTCATATTTGACATATGTAGCACCATGTAAATAGAAAGCATCAGATTCATCAATGGTTGTGCCATCCAGAATACAATCTTTTGGATCTGATTTCCAAAACTTGAAGGATAAAGTGCAATATTTCACATTTGATTATTCAATATTTTGACAAAACTTCACCAAAGAAAGCTAGTAAGAAACAAAAAATTTACTCCTTTTTAAAGAGCTCTCACAAAGCCTCACTTTTTTTTTAGGATTTGCACCATGGTGTTCTGTGTTTCTCAACTCTAAAATGGGTTGTAGGTCTGTTCTAATATGGCAGCAGGGAAAACGGCACAGGGCAACTAACCATATGATTGTGCATGCATAAAATAGTCAAATATTAGACTATCAGCCAAAGGTAACAGACTCTCCCTATCTTTTGTTGTTGTTGTTGTCCAAGGTTGTGTGCCATTAACATCTGTAGTGCAAATTCATGTCACTTGGTAGCTGTAAATATGTATTTCAAAGAAAGTACCATGGCATAAACAACTGATATCACCACTTTACCGTAGTACCATCATCACACTTTGGGTTTTACAGTAATTTCCCTGCAGTTCTTTAAATATCATGATGAATTATCAGTCTTTAAGTTTATTCACCGGGACAGTGATATCCCTTTAACCATGTTAAATCCTCCAGTGTGCCCCAGTGTAAGTACACAATGGACAGGACGACCATGATGTGCATAATCTGGTGACTATTAAACCAGTAGTCAAACCCTCCAGGACTGAAGCGTTCTGGAAGGCGGGAAATATTGACTAATCCTCCTAACAATGCAAGAGTATCCATGGTGAGGTAGAGGCGAAGGGATGCGGGGCTTCCTCTGCCTGCGCCAGTCAGACGCAACATAAAGAGAACGAACCGGAAGATCGCCTGCCAGGCGAAGGATTGCAGGCGGTGCACATTACTCTGAGCAGAGACGGCGCAGTGAACACCGTAGCCAGAGAGAAGGAGATATGCCAACATCGCCACACGGCGGGAGGATGGGTAACACAACAAAGTTATGTGAATGATTGGCAGAGCACCTGTAAAAAGAAAAGTACAGGGAATTCATTGAATAATGGCTCTTGAAAGAATCAACAATCAGTGTCCCCTGCTGAAAAGAAAAAAACCCCTGATAAAACCTGGCTGGCTGATCTTCCAGCCTGGCTGAGCTGGTTTTAGCTGGTTGGTCAGCTAGTCTCCCAACTAGAAGTGGTCAAAAGCCCTCTAAAACCAACTAACCAGCTTAGGCTAGGTCAGGGGTAGGCAAGTTCGGTCCTGCAGAGTTCAGCTCCAACCCTG